GGGGACGAAAATAAAATTTTGTGTTCATTTCGTTTTGAGAACTTTTCTTTCGAGTAGCCTTTTTCGAAGAAATTTTTTTTATCCTCCAAAAGAAGAAGAAATATTTCTTATATATTTTTTTTTATTTTCCGAATTCGAAATAAAATTCTATTTTTCAATTTCTCGACGAAGTTTTTCCAAGTTTTTGGATTGTGGAAGTCTATTCTTTTGTTAAAAGTTTTTAAAAATTTTTCCTTAGGAAGAGTCCCTTTCTGTAAAAATGAATGCCTTTCGAAATTGAAATTCCGGGAATTTGAATATTGAGATGAATTGAGATTTTATATACCTTAAAAAAAGACTATTTATTTGGTGGAGTAAACATAAGACGCCAGGATGAAATTGGAAATTTTTTATTCCTGATGGAAAATGTGTTCGTAAAATAAAAAAAAAAAAAAGATATTTTTCAGTTCATATTTATATTGTCACTGAAATAAAAATTAACACCAATGTCACACTTTTAAAAATCTTTACTCTTAAGAGCTATTGTTTATTAAAAGATTGCTAACAAAACATTTATTTGAATAAACATAGCTTTATTAAGGGAAGAAACTAGTAATGGTTTTACTAACTTAAAAAAAAAATCATTGGCGCAACAGTCCCATGGTGGACCAAGGTCGTCTGCCTACTGGCATATTTATGTTTTTTGCGAGGTAGGATTTTTAGCCCTAGCCCGAACGCTCTACAGTCATAGTAGACAAGGGGCCTGAATGACCAAGGGTATATCTCTAGATCTGTGGCGTTCGATTCCACAGGATTCGGGTTCGAGTCTAGGTGGTGCCATGGAGCTTTTTTTAGTGGTTCGGAATCTTTTTTATGTCGTAGGTCTTGGTCTCATATGACTGTAGATCGTCACCGAGCCTAGTCAGACTTCTTACCCACATCATTCCCAAACTGTATTGGGGCAACTCAGCTCTAGGCACAGTGATGTGGTGTGGTATGATGTAGTAGTAGTAGTCCGCAGACAAGGACCTACGATTTAAAAGGGATTCCGAACCCCTACAAGTTTTCATGACACCGTCGGGTTTCCAACCTGAAACCTGTGCCATCGAGCGCCAGTCGTTTGGCTATCTAGCCCCTTAAATTAATACTGCAGTGGGGTATTTCGAGATACTGGTTAACTACACATACAAATAGTTAATATTTATCACACAGAGCCAAAATAAAAAATGATAATCTTAGTTTTGTGGAAGGGCTGCACTGTTGATCCGGATCTTGCAGAGGCGCAGGTTGCGCAAAATATACTACTTTTCTGGCAAAAATATGTGGGTTAACGGAACATTTCTCCTCTTATTTGCACCCTTATCAGAACACTCTTATCAGCATCCAGAGAAAGAATGGTTATAATATTCATAAATTAAATATCATATGCGAGATGTCTGAATGTGATGTACTTCAAATTTTATACAAATAAAAAAATATATTGTATATTATATACGAATTCTTTGATGGTTTTTTTTTATACGATTTGGCCGTTGCAAATGCTTTTAATTACTTTTGTAGTGCAAAATGGGCGTGTCTAAATTGTCACTCTTTGTGAGTTCTTCTTTGGTTTATGCTGTGTTCATGCATTTGTGCTTTATATATAATTCGTCAATTGACCTTAGGCCGTAGGTTACGGTCTAATATGATTGTAGAGTGTTGGGCGTAGAGCTGATTACCCTACCCCATAAAAAGTCAGCGTCACGGAGCCAAGCCCCACTTCTACCTACAGGCAACTGCCTTTAAAAAAAAACTGCCTTTCCCCCTTTTCCTCCTTCCATGAAACCTCATGGGTTCTTGTACTTGGTCTAGATGTTGCTGTCTACCAAGTGGGATAAGACACAAGATATATAATTCAAACAAAAGCAAAAAGGTAAATTAAAATATACATATCTGTAATATTTTACCAATTAAAACGTATTGACTGAAGACATACGTGAAAAAAATATAAATAGTATTTGAAATAAAATATGATTAGTAGTATGCAGTAATTAACGCAACCCAATAGATACATTTAAAAAAAATTAAGTATTTTTTAATGTAAAAAAAATTTGTGTTTCTTAATCATAACATGCTCTTAATTTTATTTAATAACACAATATGTTATTAATATATATTTTTTGCAATATGTATCAGGGAAACATTCAATAATATATTCTTTTTTAATTTAAAAAATAAATAAATAATAATCAATAAATAAAAAAAAATAATAAAAATAAATAAATAAAAATAAAAATAAATAAAAAATAAAATAAAAGAATAATAATCATAATAAAAATACAATATAAGTCGCATGCAATAATAACTCATATTCAAATTCCTTTTTACACGAAATAAAATATTTAAATATGGCAACGCTACTTGTATAAAATTTCCCGAAATGTTTCGATTCCGTTGCTATGGAAACAAGAAAAATAATGCCACAAAAAAAAGCTGTGCGAAATAAAGGGATAATATTCATAGCAGAAACTATCAAAAAGACCTCGAAAGATTCAAAAGCAAAAAGGAATGAAGCTTTTTTCAAAATGTTTCATCATAAGAGGCTAATAAATATGATTTCAATGACATATTATTGATGAGATAAAATAAGATTCTTTTCAGTTATGTTTGACAGGTAGTCATTTTTTAAAAATGGATTATTTTAAAGAGGATTTTGCTGATATCTGAAATTGGTGTTATATGTGCTGAACTGATATTTTGAAGGTTTTATTAATTTCAGTAAAATATATGTATGCGCAATAAATTTTCGGAGTTTCGTTGTAGAAATTGTTGTAACATTTGTTAATAATAATATTTTTTTTTGTAATTAAACTGTAAATGATTATGTAATTTTCTATATACTATTACTTCAATCTAAAAACTTTATTTATTTACAAAACATTGGAATATCTCTAAAGACTTATATATAGAGATATGCCAATAATGACTATATACAGAGACATGCTAATAATGACAATACATATGGCAATAAAGATTATTTATAAAGATATGGCAATAAAGACTATTTGAATATATACTAATAATGACTATACATACGATATAGTTTTGGTTTGTTTATAACTCTGCCCTCCCCTTTCCTTTTCTTTTTCTCTTCAGCCAGCCAGAAGTTTTCGTGGTTTCGTAACGGTTATTTTTTTAACTCCTTTTAATTGCCACAGTTCTTATTTTTAAAAACTTTTGTGAACTATTATTTTAAATTTTATATTTACTAACCTTTTTACTACTGTAAATTCTCTCCGAGCGTGGGCTCGTTTAATATTCTTTCTTTAGCTCATCTTTTGGATTTAAAATTTGTTTTTAATAATAATTATTGATATGGAGGTACGGGAAATTCCCTGGTACTCCAACTAAACACCTACCGTTACGTTACGTGACTATACATAGAGATATGCGAAAAAAATTAGTATATACTAATGAGGACTATTTTTAGAGATATGGTTATGACTATTTACAGAGATATGCTAATAATGACGACACAAAGTGATATGTTAATATTGATGATACAAAGAGATATGCCAATAAATACATTTTACAAAAATATGCTAATAATGACGACACAAAGTGATATGTTAATATTGATGATACAAAGAGATATGCCAATAAATACATTTTACAAAAATATGCTAATAACAACTATTTAAAGAGATATGCTAATAATGATTATATGTTACATAGAGACAGGCTAATAATTTTTTGATGTATGCTAATAAGGACTATTCCAAGAGATATGCCAATAAAGACTATTTATAGATATATAGCAATGAAGACTATTTACAGAGATATGCTAATCATGACTATATATATATACCAATAAAGAATATTTAAAGCGATATGCTAATAATGACTATACATAGAGATATGCCAATGAAGATTATTTGTAGAGATATGATATATAGAACTATACTATATATAGAACTATATATAGTTCTATACTATATATAGTATGCCAACGGCCGTACCATGCTGAATATACCGGTTCTCGTTAGATCACCGAAGTTAAGCATCAGTGGGCGCGGTCAGTACTTGGGTGGGTGACCACCTGGGAACACTGCGTGCCGTTGGCAAATTTGGGACCTGAATGGCCGAGTGTCTAGCGCTCTGGCGCTCGGTGCCACAGGTTTCGGGTTCGAATCCCGGCGGTGCCATGGATGTTTGTAGTGGTTCGGAATCCACTTTAAGCCGTAGGTCCCGGTCTTCTATGACTGTAAGAGCGTCACGGAGCAAAAGTCAGGCTTCTACCTACGGGTGCTCCATCACAACAGAAGCTGCTTCCTTCCCCTTCAATCATGAGTCCATATGGGCTAGTGGGCTTGGCCAGCCAAGTGGGATAAGAAACAACAAAACATATATAGTATAGAACTATATATATATATAGGACTATATATAGAACTATGCAAATAAAGACACTTTACAAAGATATGCTAATAATGACTATTCGTAGAGATATGCTATTAAAAACTATTTACAGAGATATGTTAATAAGCCCTATTCATAAAAATTTGCCATCAATGACTATTTACAGTATGTAACGCGCGATTTCCTTGGAAGAATCCCTGGCTCTAATCATCCTAAATTTCGTTTCACCGCAAAGCAGTGAAACGTTATACTCTACGTCAGGGATGGGCAAACTACGGCCCGCGGGCCAACTCTGGCCCGCCGAAAGATTCTATCCGGCCCGCGGATAGAATTTTAATTTGCCGGTCCGAGGCAAATTAAAATAAATATATATTTATATATTATACATCCATCTCCTTTTCTACTTTGATTAAATATTATTATTTTTTTCTTTTTTTTCGAAGGACTGATGATCTTTTTACTTTCTCTAATTTTGTTCTACAAAACATAAATCGTCGGAAACAGACAGCTTTCAATCGGTAAAGTGTTAAAAGCGAAAGTTCTTTATTAATTATAGCTGTAGATTGGCACCAAAAAGGGCCAACTCTCGGGGAGCAGACAAATGGGAATCCAATATAGGTGAATTAGACTTCACATGTGGCAGACTTCGCATTTATAACTCCAGTATTAGAAAGAATTATTTCAGAAGTAGATTGACAGAGGAGCATTTAGCTTCGTTCCTTAGCATCAGTACATCTCACTTCGAACCTCAATATAAGGAACATTTAAAAATGAAATCGCAATTTCATTCATCTCATTAACATATTTAAACTGTAATACTTGTATTTTGTTTTCTAAATTTTAGAAAAATTTATCTTGGCCCGTCCAACTTTTTTTTTTTCGATTTTCCGCCCGCGACCGAAAAAATTTTGCCCATTCCTGCTCTACGTAATAGCTCACATAATTTCTCCATCCATGAGAATCGTTTTAGTTTCAGTCTGAATTTTGGCTTCCTTCAGACATGGTGGGGTCTGCCTGCTGTCGCTCTGAGCGTGTCGAAACGTAACGATTTTTGCCTAAAATTCATTTCATTCCATTATTTATTTTATTCAAAATGAAATTTTATAAAGTTAATCTTTTATTTAATCAATGAAAATGAATTTTTATTAATTTTATTTATTTTTTCGTTTTTATTAAATGGAATTTCTTTGTATCTGCTCAAGTTTATTCATTAAATTTCATTATTTATTTTATTCAAAATAATATTTTATTAAAAATAATCTTTTATATTTAATTTGAATTTTATTTTTAATGTTTAATAATGAATTGTAATTCATTTTCTTTTCAATTTTATTCATTTCATTTCATTATATAAAAATATTATTTAATCATTAAAAATGAGATTTTATAATTTAAATTTTATTTTTAATGAGTAAAAAGGAATTTTTATTCATTTCCTTTTTTTGAATTATTTTAATTTTATTCAAGGAAAATTTATTCTTAATGAATGAAAATGAATTTTTAATGATTTATTTTTCAATTTTAATCATTTCAATCCTTTATTCCTTTTATTTAAAAAAAGAAAATTCATTCCTAATGAGTGAAGATGAATTTTAATTCTTTTTCAGTTTTATTCAATTTCTTATCATCATCATCATCACTAGTGTGGGCGAAGGCCGTCTACCTACTGGCAGATTTCGAGACGAGAGATGTTTTTCTTTTTTACGGGGTAGGGTTGTCAGCTCTACGCCCAACAATCGTGTGAGACCGGGACCTACAGCTTAAAGTGGATTCCGAACCACTACAAACATCCATGGCCCCGTCGGGACTTGAATCCGACACCTGTGGTACCGAGCGCCAGAGCGCTAGCCACTCGGCCATTTAGGCCCGATTTCTTATAACTGTAAAAAATAAATTTTTTTCATTCATATTTTCAAAAACTGTTCATTCCTTAATAGATTAAAGGTAATGACTGTAACTCATACCAACAGCGAAAATCCAGTCTTCCAGTTAGTAAGTATTGCAGCTGGAAGAGCGACAGGGTCTACTATTAATATCAAGACAAAAAAAAACCATAGCAACTCAAAATGATTAATTTTTCAAACTTTATATTCGGCCACCTGATAAACTTTAAAAATAAACAACACTTTAAATGTAACTCGGTTTTTGAAAGTTATCAGGTTGTTAAACCTAAAAAATAGTGCTCACGCTTTTGTGAGAATACCTTTGAAAACCGAACTCCGGGCGGTCCGAGGAATTATTCATAGACCTGGAAACAGCTCGAATAATCGAAGTCTTGGAAGTCCACCAGAACAGCCCAATAGAAGAGAAAAGAATAGAACACGCTTTTATCTTTATAAGGCCAGAAAATCGTTTTTCAAAATTCTTGAAGCTTAGCTTCAAAGCTGGAAAATTTTAAATGAAAACATTTTTTTACTCACTACAACAACTCAAAAGTTTGGTTTTGCAGTTGATGTTGGGATATTACAATGTATGCAGTGGTCTCGTATATATATATATATATATATATATATATATATATATATATATATAT